CTTAGAGTAATTATTACGTTTTAAAGAGTTAGCATACCCTGATATGGCAAGACAGCATACTAATATTTCCAATTATGATTAGACAATTTCTTTATGTTTTCAAATCCTGTCAGACTCGCCTTGACTTGAGATTCTAAAGTGATTGGGTAAGGAATTGTTTCCCTTGGAAGTCAATGGAGGAGGTTTTGTAACTTGATAGCCAGTTGGCCATGGCTTAACACCATCACACTTAATGATAGCTTGAATGATCAAACATTCAGTTCATTTTGAAGGATGCTTGTTCTCATCTGACAGGCACGAGCAACAGGTAGTTGTAACAGACACCATATATATATATATGAAGATCTCTTCACATATGAACTTACTGTTTAGATTTTTCTCAGCTTAGAAATCTTAATGACCAAACAATATGTAACATAAATGTCCCTAAAATCAATATATAGAATACTGTTACCTTTAAAGAGGGGAAAGAGGGAGGGACTTGTTTGATTATAAATGGAATATTAGCAGACAGCAATATTTGGACATTATTTCAATATTTGCAAAATTTGAAACATTAAAAGAAAAATATCAACAAACATGTGCCAGTTACTTGTATCGTTTATATTGTGGCTATTTTCACTTAAAATCTGTTCAACATGCTCTTGTTATGATCTAAGAAATATTGTAAAAATGCACAATGTTATTTTTGTAAAGTTTTGAAAAAATCATATTTTTTTGCGTTTTAATTAAATATTGATAAGCATAATGTATTAAAATCTGTCTGGTCAAAACATCATTTTTATATGTCCTTACACAATTATAACTGGTGATGTAGTCGATTTATTTTGTTATTTTTAACAGTAACAAAATGGATGGAGATCTAAATATGAAAGCACCGGGTTTATCATATTCCTCAAAACATTTTATTGTAGTGAGTCATGCGGGTTGTCGTCATCCAAAGTAATGCTCTGAACTATATAATAAAGATTGAAAAATGATTGAGACGACGTCACAAAGCAAACGCACACAGAAACCAAATGAAATATAAAAAAAATATACCAAAATAGATGAACATGAATATTTCACGATTTCATTAATATAAAATATATATAAAAAATAATTATGCTTTTTGTCGTTTATTGATGGAGATTACGTGTTAACGCTGAAAGCGAGAGGTTGTTTGATTTCACCACGATACCCAAATATACTTACCACTATAATAGAGTAACGTGTACGCATGCTGTTCAATGTTAATTATTACACGTGGTGGAAATTGGCTGTGTTAAGATTATATGAACCCAATAAACTTCATTATTGAATGTACAAAAGTGTTTTTATTGTGTTGAAAAGTACGCCGAAAATAGTTTATATATATATTGGCATTGTACGTAGAACAACATTAAAATGTATAGACTAAAGCCATTCCGTAAACGATTCACAATCTTGTGACATATTCGTTGCGTTAAGAAGATGAATGAAAGACGTTAATATATCCTGAACAAATCCTACAATCGTTTCCATCAGATAGCACAGTATGTACGATGTCTTCATGTGATTGTAGGTAGATCCACAACGACCTAAGACAAAGTAGTATGAATAATAAAGGCTTAATTTGTTTTGAACACAAACAGGAATCGACTATAGTTTTCGTTTGTTATATTCTTTCTAATGCTTATTCTCAAATTCAAACGCATCATGCATATGCTATTCATTTATACAATTTCGTTTCACACTCGTATGCAACATATATATTTCTATTCCAAATGAGATTAACAGAATGAATGCCAGTTTTTCTTTTTGTGTGCGTGACGAATGAGATGATGTAAAAATACCTGAACAAGTCTTAGATGTGATGCTAAAAAAATTTCCGGAGGAGTCTCGGATGTGATAGTAAAACAATACCCGAACGAGTCTCGTCCGTATAGTTAAAATAGCATAATATAAATAAATAAATATACAACATTTGATATAGCGCCCTATCTAGCTAACATAAGCCACTCTAAAACGCTTTACAGTACATAGATATACAATTTTATACAGTCAATACAATTAGCATATATATTAATCAATACAATATTGAGGAATTCGCAGGAGCTGCCTTATCAGGCGCTAACTACGTATACTAGTCCTATGCCACCTGGCTAATATCTCCCTCTGTGTGTGTGCTCGAGATGTATTGTGTTCTGTTTTGTAGTGGGACCGTGCTTCCAACGGTATTATTTATAGTGCCACCTCACTTGAATGCTACAGCACAGATACCGTAACACCCACCCCAGACCATTTTATACTCCACCTAGGTTGTTGGAGTTGTGTGGGCAGGAGAAAAACACTTTCTCTGAATATTCCATGCGTGCGGCGACTTCGGGGATCGAACCCGGCCGCCTGCGTGGAAGGCCGGAGTGTTAACCACTCGACCAATCCGCCCATATACTTGTAAATATACTTGTGACGTCATCTTTTGGCGTTTAAAGTTAAGATTAACCACATATATTCGTATGTGAGTAGTAAAATATGTCAAGTTTTTGGGGCACATTACGTAAGCCTTGTAGCCTAGTATGGTAAACAATTCATTGGAATATTATCTACATAATAATATAATATCTAAAACAAACTAATGTAATGACATTCATGAAGTAAAATACAAGCATGTACCAATTATAAGTATCACTGAAATACACTAAACACAAACGTGTAGTATTCAATTAAAGATATCATTGAAATGTAGAAAATGCAAAAATATACCAATAATAAGTATAACTAAAATACACAGAATGCATGTAGTATTCAATTACAGATATCATTGAAATACACAAAATACAAACAGATTATATTCAATAAAATTAATAAGTTATTTAATTCTCAGTACTTCATGAACCATAAAATTGAAAAATCTGAACGACTGCACATAAATAACACAACTCTTAAAGAGTGTATCTAGTAATTTTCAACATGAAACATACACGGAAATATTGAAACGATAAACACAATTAAAAATAAAACCTCACATTGGTTTAACTGGTAGTCAGGGTCACTATGTATCATATGTAACATAGTGATACATCAGCTATCCAGTTCAATGTATGACGCTAAATTCCAATATTTTCTGGCCCAAAGGACTCTTACACCGTATGGAAGTTACGATATAGTTAAAAGCTAAATTCCTCTGACATTCACGAGTATTTCAAACGAATTTTCGAAATTGCATGCAAATCAGCAAACCCTAAATGTGGAACCCCCGCATTTACATCTACATTGTAGGCTCGTCAACATTCAAATAAAATCAACAATGATACATATGTAAAATATACACGAAAGTCGTGATTCAATTATAAAACAAAATGATAAAAAGATCTAGTTCTATGGAGAGAATAACGTTTATGATTTGCATAAATAGTCAGAATGATGTATTTGCATATAGATGAGTTCTATGAATTCATCGTAGAGTAATTGCTATAGGCAACGATATCAAAAACTGTCTGGATTTAAACAGATCCACGATAATACGAACGTTTCAAAAGGAGGAAAATAGATTGTGTCAACAACAATACTATAACATATAAACAATTCATATCTTACATGATAACACAACAATAAACACCAAATCAGGCATTTAAATAACAGTATGTTAAAAATATTTTCACGAGTATACAACTTACAGCGTAAAAAAATGTATATTGATGTCCCTGAAAAATACTATGATATAAAATATTGTTATGATGTATGGTAGAAAACACTTTGATATAACATACTGCTAAAAAGGAAAGTTTTGCGTGTGGAAATTTCCCGCGATTCGGTTAAAATATTTCGACACGCCGACATTAAATATATATTTCATATCATTTCAATATGCTCGTGTGGAATACAGTACGCGATTATTAAGTAAATTTCCACACCGCAAACATTCCCGCCTCCACAATATCCATTTAACAGAAAAGCTAGCAATTTAATCACGTAAAATTAGTCTCGTTTTGATAATTAATATAATACACATTCACATTCGCAAAACGTCACATTTCCCAGTTTTTGAATCAACTCTGAACATTTCCGGAATTCAAGCTACAACAATGTAGGAACTGGATCGGTCATCATTCCCCCATTCCAAAACAGTCTCAGATCTTTGGTAACACAAGAGTTATCTTTTTAAAGCGGATTTCTTTAAAGTAAGGATACCACATTAGTTATAGGCGTGAAGTATAGCTCTACGTCAGAACAGCTCAGAACAGCTCTACTTCAGAACAGCTCAGAACAGCTCTACTTCAAAACAGATGTTTTGACTTGAAGCAACAAAACGAATTGTTTACCTTTAAACGGGTAATTTACGTGGGTTTAAATTTTGGCGATTTTGAACCAAAATCAGAAAATGAAACTTACACGGATTATAATTTCGCAATCTAAACATGTGAAGGAAGTAAATGTTCTCGCTGTTTTAGCACAGAGAGAGGGACACTCAGCATATAAAGTCTTAAATCATCACATGAATAGGCTTTACAACAGCATACTGAGCAGCAACAACAGCAGCAGGTGTATTTTGTTAAACACATCATCAACAAAACTATAAGACCTGTGATAAAACCTATTTTCGAACATCATTACTTTTTTTGTATATGAATCGTCACAACCAAATGCGCGCTATTTCGTGACAATATTACAGTTATATAGTTTAATATCGCAGCTCATTTTTATTCTAAGGATCATATTTTTGCGACGACATTATTGACCAGCGAAATCCCGAAAATATCATCCCCGCGTAAATTTACGGTACTTCCCTTGTCAGTGTATTCATTTGTCAAGTCGTTGCAGCACTTATGTAGCACTACTCAAATTCTGAACTACTGAAACTTTCAGTGCAACACACACTGCAATGCAACAATTGATTTAAATGAAATAATTCCCTAGAAAATGAAGAAAAAATGTAGAAAATGACTAGAAGAATTATTTCATAACGGTGACAATGATAAATATATGTTCAAACCAAACTGTACTCATTTGATAGATGGATTCACATTGTTACGTGTATGTTACATTTTCCCTACCACTACTTCATAGTAAGAAGGTGGTGGCATTGTCGACAATGACGCAGCAGAGGGTGGACCGTCATAATAGGGGAGGAGAGCCCATTCACTCTCAGCAGGTGGCGCGGAGGGACGTATCGGTTCTTCATCTAAAAATAAGGAAAACAAATACAATCGGATGTCTGTTTTCGGTTGATAACAAACAATACTGAAGAGATTGACGTATTATGAAATAAATGTTGGAAGAAAATAGTAAGGTAACACAGGTTTTTGTATATAAGTAAGCAAACCTATCACTTGAAATCCTACACGGACTGAATTGCCTTGTTTGTGTGATCGGGGTTTAACTTCCTTGCATCAACCAGGGTCATATGCAGACGGATGCCTAGGAGCACACTGCCAGACACGGAATAGAGGGATGGGACGGACGGTAGAAAATGTAAAAATAAAATCCCAACTGTTGCAATGGGGGCAGTGGATCAATTTTTGTCTCTCAAATGTTCCCGATTCTGCAGGGCTCTACGTTAGTCGCCTCTTACGATACACTTGCTTAGTTTATTAGTTAAAACATATTTTATTGCCAAAAAATGCAAGAGGATTGGGCACAAGTTACATGAACATTATTAACGCCCTTTCCTTATAAGATAAATAATTGTATAAATACACATCATAAGATGGCTTTCATAGTTTAAATCACTACATTTATCTATTATTGAGAGAGAGAGAGAGAGAGAGAGAGAGAGAGAGAGAGAGAGAGAG